ACACACACACACACACACAACCCGCTTAGCCGATTATATATCAGTACGAATCCTACTATATATAATCGGCTAAGCGGTTGTGGTGTGTGTGTCCTGTTGTCTGCGTGTATGTGTTTTGTCTGTCTGACCGGCAAATTTAATTAGCGGCGCACAGTGGTCGTCAGAAGTTGGTTTAAGGATATGATATAGGAGGATGGGAGGGGGAACAATTTGGTGGCGCGGTAAAAGAAAGGGACACAAACTATAAGGCGTGATAGAAGGCGCTAGAACGCACAGTTCGCGCGAAAATTCACCGCCCGCGCAGCTCTAGAGCCCAGCCAGTGGTTCGTAAGGAGTTGGTTCAGGATTATGAATACTAGGGGGGCATGCAGACTGGGGAACAATATTGGGGTTGATCCGCGGCGTGTCGTAGGTCTCCGCGCCACGCGGTCACAACAGTTGATAACTGCGAGGCTCTGACTATGAGGCGAACTGAGGACGCATTGATAACGACAATTGTTCACAAAATTCGTATGTGCGCTTCGCAGCAGTCGTCATGAAGCTGATTTTTGGGGACCATTGATATGGGGGGTTTGGACGGTATCCAACATATTTTGTGGAGGCGGCGTCAAAAAGTTGATAACGAAGGGTGTTGCCCGATAGGACTGAGTAATTCACGGATATGGCGCTACGCAACCGTAGAGGACTAGCTCGGAAAGCAGATCTGGCAGATTAATGCTATCTGCATTTCGAAGAATTCATCGTCTCGGATTCGCGTTATAAATTGGAATTCAAAGAGCCTTTTAAAACGTTACACCTTCTAGAGTTCGTCCGGACTGTGAGGGCGTGAAGGTGGGAGCGGATGCTCTAATAAATTTTTGGATCGTGAATACTGGCATTCCGGTCTTGAGCCCATACAAAAAGTTATTCAGACCGCCCCTAAATTTCCTGCGGATCTCCGATATGGTGGTTGTTTTACGAAAATCACTTTAGCTGGTCGCCACTTCACTGCGCTTAATCAAACGCTGAGATGTTACACAAGATGGGCAACGCCGACAGTAAGTGCATATAAAAAGAAAAAACGCGGGGGGGAAATAAAAAAAAAAAAAAAGGCGCGGCCCCAGAAAAAAAAAAAGAAAGCTATGTTTAGGCGGTGGAACCAAGCTTCACCGGTTGTCAGTTTTGTCAGAGGGCTTCGTGTCATGCGCCGCCGGTCCTAGCGGGGCGCGCCGAGCTAACTTGGTTATAGTAGGATATTTCAAATAACAACAAAGTCAATATGGCGATTTCAAACCACCTGCCTCTTACGAATTAATAGGATGCGGCTTGAAATAGGGATCACAACATGACTCCTATCCATTTCTATAGGAGCCGCCGCCCCAACCTCTCAGAAGAGCTTAAAGGGTGTCTATTGCAGAGCTGCTGCCTTTTGTGAGCTGGACTGCTATAGCAATCAACAGCAGGTAGATTTTGAGGGATTCCAAGGTTGACCGTCATGATTAATCCTCAGGAGGTTTCTTGAGGAAGTGGTCTCTGAAATCTTTCCTATCAGAGCCGCATGGCATCCAAGCGTCAAGCAGCAAGCGGTTCCGGCGTTCTTGATATAGACAAAACTTTCTCAGAAACCTACAGTAATAAATGAAGATGCTCCGAAAATAAAAAAAAGGTTGAGTTGGATTCAAGCCAAACATCATAAGAACCTGCAATGACCTTCAAGTGTCACTCTTCTACCATTATCAGGAATTCGCATAGCATGGAAAAGGCGAATCACCAGAGTAATTGGGTCGAAGCGACATCATTTTTGCAGCATCCTAATGCATTAACACCTTGTCGGCAATGCGGCAACTATGTATGCCACAATTTTTGCACCTATCGGACATTGTGGCAACTATGTGTACCGAACCCATTGTATTTATTTATTTCGCACCTGCCCGACTTCTTCCTAAGTTTTTTCGTCTCTCCTGTAGACCATACATCAGCATAACCAAAAGCCACGTGGCTTACAGAATAGCTAAATATTGTTTAGTTTGGTAAAGGTTTCCCAGCACCTTACAAAATCATTCGCCTGTTATAGAGATATTTAAAAAAATAGGTTCCCATACTTTCGGAATGCCGTCCCCATCCCCTCTTTGGGCCTGCTGCACCCGTCCTCTGAAACGCCAACTCGTCGTGTGCGCGGTGGCGCGACGAGCGGAAGAATCTTCTAACCGTTTGCTCGTTTTAGTGGAACGATCTTGTTGGAAGATTTCCTTAGCTTGGGATACTGTTCGCAAGGGTAGTTTCTCAAGTATCTTCTCTCTTTGCAGGCTCTTAAGAAGGCATGATGTCAAAATTGGCCAAACGTTGTTCACAATCTCGATTATAAGCTGAAGTATCCCGACAATTATGCTAGGTGGAAAATGTCGGGGGTTTTCCATTGGAAGTCGAACGTAGACACTATACATTATAGATGTCGTTTGAAGACATCTCTATCAGCTATTACAAGTTTCTAGCAAGCCGAAGAAAAAAGGAAATGAGGGCCCTTGCTAACTCAGGTAGCCTTCGCTGGTGGTCTCAAAGATGGCGGATCGTTTCTTAGTGCTATGGCGAAGAATGGCCAAGCCAAAATAATCTCCAGTAATTCTGCGGCAGCAAATTCGCCCCGAACACGACGTTGTCATGGTGTCGCGTTTTCACAACGCTCGTATGCTTAAAGGCAAAGGTCGGGCTCAGTGGCGCTAGAGGAGTAATTCCCATGCAGGAGGTTGTATGTGAGTAGCTGCACACAATGCAGCAACTTCCCACCTTGAATAACGTCGTTAAGCCCCCGGGGCCGTCGGTTTCAATCCGGGACCGCCTCGTCAATCCGGGACCGCCCACCTCCGGAAGTGGTGCGTGGCTGGCATAACGTCTGAAATTAGCTGATTTGATTGCCGTATCAACCGATAGAACGACTGACTTCTCCAGAAAACTTGTTTTTACGTGCCTCTTTCCCCAAGCCAGCCTCCTTCTCTGCTAATGGGAAAAAGGGTTTTGTTAACGGCCTTGTCGACGGTTTTTCTCAGTTTTTTTCTTTACCGTTGTTCCAATTCGCATCTCTATACTCACAATCAGTTTCTCTTACCATACAATCCCCCTTAATCGCACCGACTTTGCTTTAACGCATGAAAACATATTCACTACTGCTTCTGAAGAAGCCTTGCGGGATGTCCAATAACAAAAGTTCTGGTTCACCTAT